GTCTGCAAAGCATTTATACTAAGTGCCACTAGAGTGGAGTGCAATTCAGGTGCAGAAATCATCCACGAGTCAGCGAAGGCCACACCATGCTTCCAGCAGCTCAGGCTAAAAGCCTACCAGTTGTCCTTAATTCCTTTCCTTTACTCTTCCCATGACTATTCCATCACAAAGAACTGTCTGTTCCATCCCCCCAAATAGGTCTTAAACCTGTCTGCTTCTCTTCACCTTCCCTACAATCACCCGAGCCAATGCCACCAGCATTTCTCCCTGGACTATTGCAAGAGCCTCCTTTCTGATCCCAGTGTCCCCTTCTGTCCCTCCACAATCTACCCTTCCCATAGCAGTCAGAGGGATCTACTTAAGACGCAAATCAGATCACATCTGTGCCCTGCTCAAAACCTTTCAGTGGCTTCCCAGGAAATCCCATCTCCTCGCCATTGTCTCCAAGATCTCCCTTCCATAATCTGGCCCTTGCCTACTTTTTTCACCTCACTTCCTAGAGTAGCTGCTGATTCCCCAACAGCCAGCACAGAGCCTAACACAGAGTAGACAATAATTATGTTCTGAAGAAGTTAAGGCAAGAATGGGGATGAATAAAAAGGCTTTGTAGAGGAGCCCATATTTGAGATGCCCATTAACGTGGGCTAGGATTCCTCAGGCAACAAGGACTGGGGAGTGTAGTGTGTTCTAGATGGGGCAATAGCACCTGCCAGGACATGAGCTCCAGATGCACCATGGGAGGCAGCACGAATAAGCCTGGGAGGCAGGTTTGCAGCAAGCAGCACTTCTCACAGTTGAGTAGGCATCAGAATATCCTGGAAATCTTGTTAAAACACATTGTGGTAGTTAAGGTTGTATGTCAAGTCGGCTGGTCCATGATTCTAAGTGGTTTAACAGTTACGATGGAGTCATTCTCCATGATGATGATCTTGGGGTTGTTGCCTTTGCAACCTGTGAGTTCACAGCCTGCCATTTTAGCTGGTGATGTGGGATTCATCAGCCTCCATAGGCAGCAATCTGCTGTAATGCCTGCCGATCTTGGCTTTGCCAGCTATTGCAGCTGTGTGAGTCAGGAGAAGCCTCTAGCCTGAGTTTGACCCATGGACTTGGGACTTGCCAGCCTCTAAAACTAGTGAGCTATTTCCTTGAGAAAAATTTCTCTCTCTTTATATAGTTTCATTTCTCTAGAGAACCCAGCCTAAGACACACAGAGACTGTTGGGACCTACACGCAGGGATGCAGAGGTACTCCCTGATAATTTACATTTCTCAAGAGTTCCCAGGGATCACACTTTGAGAATCATTGGTATAAAATATGCTAAACAAAGTGTTGGCACTGAGGAGCCGAGGAAGATAGCACTGGAGAAGCAAACTGAGACTGCTTCATGACAAGCTGAGAGCAGTCTGAACTGGCATAGCCAGTGGCCACCCCTCCTGCCTAAAACATACCCCACGGCCTACCTTGACCTCTGGCTGCCCACTCCCTGGTGGTCAGTCAACCCAGGCTGCCCTCCTTGGGCAGAATTTTATGCTGTGGTCCTGAGTCCTATTTCCTCAAGGCCACCTAATCTCACATAACAATTCGCACCAACACTGCTATGACAAACAATGGGTCTTTTAAAAGGGATAGCTGGCCTTCAGTCTTGTAGCAGTGGTTGGTGATAGAATTGCAGGCTGTTTGGGTTGGAAGAAGTGAAAGTTGGAGGAGAGGACCTTTCCTGGTGCCCCTCCCATCATGTCATGTGACAAGCTGCCAGCCTACCCACCCACCAAGTTTACCCCTGACAGGAACTATTAAATTAGTTTATACTTTGTTTCTAAATAGAAAGGAGGGCAGGAGCAGTTGCAGGGTCATGAGTAAGCATACTTACCTTCATAGCATCAGCCCAGAGATTGTACATTTTACGTTTGGTATTTTTATTGCCTTCTCCCTGTGAAAGAAAAGCTGATCAGCAAGGCAAAGTGAACTTGCATCCACTTCTGCCATGCATCCACTTTGACGATAAATCAAAGAGGACCAGACAGCTAATATATCTCTCTCATCGTTTTAAAAACAAATGATCTTTCTGTTCTGGGGCTTGACGACAAAGTTCTCAGTGGCACAAGTCTACTAGGCCCTTAAAGGTGGACCCACAAGTCCGCGTCCAGCTCCTTTCAGCTTATGGGATCTGAAATGAAAGCTCTAGATTTGGAGTGGGAGACTGTGGTGTGGTGTGGTTTAGCAGCCCCATATCCAAACCAAAAAAACCAAACTCACTGCCGTCGAATCAGATCCAACTCACAGTGGCCCCTCCTTGGGTTTCCGAGGCAGTATCACTACTGAAGTATATTGCCCAACCTTCCCTCTGAGGAGTGGCTGGTGGGTTTGAACCGCCAACCTTCTGGTTAGCAGTCAAATGCCTTAGGCATTACACCACCAGAGTTCCCACCTCATACCTAGTAGAGAAGAATGCTCTGTATCTTCATGGTGCAGTCCAAGTGAACACCAGGAGCCCTGGCTGTTTTGTGTTACGGGAAAAAGACAACACAATTCTCCACAACACAGTTTCTCTCTTGATTCCAATGTGACTTTTAGCTTCCAAAGCTGATTTCCAAAATATGTACATTTTCGAGTCACATTGACCTGGTTTGATGTTCTGGCTCTGACACTTTCCAGCTATGTGATTTTAGGCAATTAAGCTCTCTGACCCTTAATATCATCATCTGTAAAATGGGTGTGTTGATATCAACTTTAAAGAATGAGTTGTGAATATTAAGTATCAAGTTCACTGTATGGGGCAGTCGATAATTAGCTATCTGTTTAAAAGCTGGCTCTCTAGAGAAAAAAAAATTATAGTGTTTTCCAATTTCCTTGGTGTAAATACTCTCACAATGGCTACCAACATGCCATCACTGAATGCAGAGTTCAGAGGAGATGCACAATAATTCACCATTGAGTAGTGTTTCCACTACACAGATACAATAGACACAAATAACCTTGCCACGGCAGACAGAATAGTCAGATAACAAAATAATTTGTAAGTGATAAATTTGAATATTTTTTTCTAATATATTTTATTTAAGTTTGTTTCTAATACATTTTATTTAAGTTTACATGATTTAATTTCTAACAATGGCTATGTTTAACAACCAGTGCACAAAACTCCTGAAAATTTAACAATCACCTCTCACAAGCTCAGAAAAGCTGACACAAGCCAGATCTAGCACACAGCTGGGCTCATCTGTAGGGGCTCAGTAGACATGGCTTCCCTTCTCTCTTCCTTTCCTGTCCTCAATCCTGGGAAAGATTTCATGAAGGTTTTCCTAGGTAGAGACAAAGATGTTCCCTGTCCTCCTGCAGCCTCCAAGCTTTGCCTTCGGCCTCCACCCCCTTGGCCACTATCCCAGTCCTCACCCTGTGCTAAACCACAGCCAAGTTCCTAACCCTCATAATACTGCCTGACTGGCCTTTTCTACAGCTTAGAGGACGCTGAATCACTAACACTGGAGAAAACATTGCCTGTACTAAGGAAGGCTACTGGAAGATGATGATAACAGTAATGGGACTCTATGTTGAATAGTGGCAACTGTTGGTTTATTTTAGGATCCCTGTCCATAAACAGTAGCAAGGCCAGAAAGCTGTACTTCGGCAAGTAAGAGTCTACAATTATCCTCCTCTTGAGTCTGGAATAAACCCCTGGTTGTTATTCAACAACAGCTACAGCAGGAAGGTCTCAAGCTCCCCAGAACCCTACCATTGCACGAGCCTCCTAGAAAGCACACTTGGACATCTATCCTCTATCAAAGACTCTGAGTGGTGCAAATGTTTAACAAGTTTGGCTGCTAACCAAAAGGTTAGAGGTTCAAGTCTGCCCAGAGGCACCTTAGAAGAAAGGCCTGACACATGGGTCAGTGTCAGTGCAATGGCAACTGGCTTTGGTATCTTCTACCATATTTAGAGCCATGACAGTTCTGGAAAAACAAGGAGATGGCTGAAAATGCAATCACCCTAAGTCCATCATCAGAAAATGTTAAAAGCCGCTAAATAATGCCAGGGAAATGTAATTTAAGGAGCCAGAAACTCTTCCCTAGAAAGTTGAAATCTCACCACTGTGACAGGCACTTTGAACATGTCTGCCTTTGAGTTATCTTTTGTTCCAAAAACCCAGTCTTAAAAGCTCTTAGAAGATGTCTTAGTTATCTAGCACTGCTATAATAGAATTACCACAAGTGGGTGACTTTAACAAACAGAAATTTATTCTCTAACAGTTTAGGAGGCTAGAAGTCTGAATTCAGGGTGCCAGCTTTAGGGGAAGGCTTTCTCTCTCTATTGGCTCTGAAGGAAGGTCTTTGTTTCTTTTCAATATTTGTGGGTCCGGCGTCCCTTGGAGCTCTCCATGTGTCTTGGCATCGATCTTCCTCCAGGTATAGGAGGCTCTCAGTGCAGAGACTCTGGGACCAAAAGGCACACTTCACTCCTGACTGTCCTTTCTTGGTGGTACTCAGGTCCCTCCTCTGCTCACTTCTCTCTCCTTTTATCTTTTGTAAGATAAAAGGTGACACAGGGCACACCTAAGGAGAACTCCCCTCACATAGGATCAGGGCTGTGACCTGAGTAAGGGTGTTGCATCCCACCCTAATTCCCTTACAACTGATTGGCTGATCACATCAGATCACATCATGGAAGATGATTACATCATTATATAACTGCCAAATTACATCATAAATAACTGTCAAACCACTAAGAATCATGGCCCAGCCAAGTTGACAGATATTTTAGAAAGACATAACAATCTATGACAGAAGAGATCACATTCTGTGCTAATTTATTCTTTATCTACTACCCCTTTTTTGAGAAAGACACATTTTTAATTCAAAAGTATTTGCTATAAGAAATGTGCTCAAAGCTACCCAGAGCTGCAGAACTGTGTGGTGTTTTTCTGTGCCCAGTGCAAGTCAGGATGGTAAGTGATGGAAAATGTCCCCAGTGACACTGTCTCCTTTGGTGTGTGATCATTCTAGGTGGGTGATGCTCTGTTGGAAAATGCCCAGCTCATGCTGCAGAAGGAGAATATCCAGGCGGGCGCAGACAACTTTAAAGAGAGGTAACACTCTGCTGGGTGATCCAAATGGTTAACACACTCAACTGCTAACCAAAGGTTGAAGGTTTGAGTCCAGCCAGTCCACTCAGAAGAAAGTCCTGGCTATCTTCTTCCAAAATATCAGCCACTGAAAACCCTATGAAACACAGTTCTACTGTGACACACATGGGGTCACCTCAGAATCGACTCCATGTCAACTGTTATTGTTGTTGTTGTTTGTTTGTTTTATTGCTCTACTGGAAAAATGACAGCCCTTCCACACCCCTGGATTCTTGGGATAACACTGTCCCTCAGTCTGCTTCATTTACCTTCAACCTCAGGGAAGGCGGAGGTGGGATACAAAGGTCCTGGATAATTCAGAGCCAAGATTGTCTGGTTCAACCCCTCCCTGCATACACAAACAAGGCCCCAAAGGCTTGGTTGAGAGTGTTGGGGTTATATGCCATTGAGTCAGACCCGACTCATAGTAATCCCTCCTTGGGTTTCTGAGGATGTATCACTACGGAAGTAGATTGCCCAACCTTCCTTCCGAGGAGTGGCTGGTGGGTTTGAACTGCCAGCCTTCCAGTTAGCAGTCAAGTGCCTTAGGCACTATGCTACCAGTTGAGAGTAGTGGTTCTCATACTTTAGTATGCATCAGAATTGCCTGGGGGACTTAACAGAAAAGATAGATTGCTGGGCTACACCCCTAGAGTCTCTGATTCAGCAGATCTGGGGTGGGGCCCAAGATTGTGCACCTACAAGAAGTTCCCGGTGATGCTGATGCTGCTGCTCCTGGTACTACACTTTGAGACCCACTGGTTTAGAGCAATGATTCTCAACGATGACTGCACAATGGAATTACTTGGGGCACTTACACATATTGGTGCACAAGCCTCACAGACTAATTAAGTCAGGGTCCTTGAGGTGGGATCCAGGCCTCAGCACTTTTTAAAAAGCTTACCAGGTGATCTCAGTGTGCATCCCACCTTGAGAACCATTTCTTTGGTTCTCAAATCTAACACAGTCTAGTACAGTGTTTCCTAGAGTGTGGTGTGTACATTGTCAATCCAGAGCCTTTGAAGTGGTATAAGAATAAACATTTTGTTTTCCATAGTTATGTGTCTATTTTTATAGTTTCCTTCTGTTTATAATCTGTGAGCTGTTTTCTCACTCATAGTAGCACCATTTACAGTAGCAAGTTTATATAATATAAAGAGGGTTTAAAATATATTTATTTAAAATTTACTTTTTAAGTATATAAATTCAAGGGAAAATGTTAAGTCAATGATGGCACCAGAGATATGCATTGAGAGAAAAATTGTGAAGGCAGGTGAAGTTTGGGAAATGCTGGTCTAATGGAGAAGCAAAATGAAGAAGACACTTTTCTGGATGAACACAGTAATTCTGAGATTTCTTGTGGTGAAGGGTGTCCTGGAAGCTAAGCAAATAAGATGGGAGATTGAGATTGTTATTCAAAGGAACTTTTTCCTCAATTGGTAAGGACAAAAGAGGAAAGGCATTTAAGTGGAGGTCTTTGGAGAGACTAACCCCATAATCTCTTAGGATAATAAGGGTATTGTGATGAAAAGGAGAATTTCCACCACCTCCTCACACCCTACGTCATTTTCTTTCTCCACCTGCTAAACAGACCTCCTCTAGAGGTCACTGGGGGCCAAGGCAACTCTCAGGCAGCCAGGGCTTCTGGGTGGCCCAGTGCTGTGCTAGCCAAGGTCATAGGAGCATGAAGAAGTGAAGTCAGCCTCCTGGCCACTAACAGTTTATTGTACAATTAAAGATAGAAGCCAATAAACATGAAACCATAAGCATTAAATTTAAGGTAGAATTTGAATGTGAAATTAAGGTAGTACTTTGTTATGGATTGGATTGTGTTCCCCAAAAATATGTGCAGTAAATCCTAACCCCTATAACTGTGGATGTCATCCCATTTAGGAAAAGTATTTTCTTTGTTGTATTAACGAGACCATATCAATATGGGGTGTGTTACTAGGGGGTATAGAGAGCACCAGGTGACTATCCAAAGGGATATCATCAAAATGACAGTCTATAAAACATTTGTGCAAAGTTTCAGCTGACATTTATTATTTTTTATAAAAATATCCCCATAGATAGTTATAACAACAAAAACATTTTTCATAAGCCTTGCTTACATGTCTCAGTATACCTGCAAGGCTAAAACTCTATGCTAATTTTCTTTTAAAATTTTCTAATGTGCTCCAATCAGAGCCGTCATTATTCCCCAGTTACAATGATGCTTCAAATCACGTGCTTCATCTGCACGCACTGTTGTTTCTGTTGCTACCAATGTTGGGAGCTCTATTGGCATAGTGCTAACCAAAAGGCTGGCAGTTCAAACCCACCAGCCACTCCTTGGAAGGAAGGTTGCGTAATCTACTTCCTCATTGATACCACCTCAGAAACCCAAGGAGGGGTTGCTATGAGTTGAAATCGACTTGACAGCAGTGAGTCTGGGTTTTTTTTGGTTTGATTTTGTCATTATTCTTGTGTTTTAGCTACAATATTGTGGTAATTAATATTAGGAAATCTCTATCAATAACTTTTTTTGAGAATGAAGTAGTAATAAAAGGAAAAAATTTTTAAAAAGTCATCTTCTCAGTTACTAATAATGCTGAAATTTAATGTAGAAAGATTTTATAAAATAATTTTTGTTAATATTCATGTAATCTAAGAAATATTACATTTAGGCAATTTACAACTATATCATATATTATTCTTGAATTAATATTGATAATAAACATTACTAAGGATTCTGTGATGATGAATGCCACACCATTCCTTTTCAAACTGTCATTCCCGGCATAGTAGATGGTAGAATTTTGCAAGACCAACGACTTGTTCATTGCAAACACCTTTTTTCAA